CTATCTCGACTATTTAAATTTTAGTATGTTTAGTTAGATTATGTTAAACATCTGCTATTGGCGGACGATGTATACGTCTGTGCGCGCTGCCTGGATGGTTTCATAGTTGATACGAAGTTCGTGTCCTGTAGAAATTGCGAAAAACGCTTCCACAATCACAATCAGATCTGTGGCAAATTGACTATATTTGAGTCATCTGAGTTAGCCATCTGCAGGAAAGAAGTCGAGTGTTTGCAAAGAGAAAAAGGTGTGATGCCAAAACTAGTAAATGAATTGGAATATTCAAACAGACTGTTAAAATCAAAATCATCCGATAATGATAATTTTCCTGCTGGTAGAAATATTGTTACCTGTGAAGGTAGACTACTTTTTGTGCCCAAGGATGTCAATACAAGGTACAGCGATATACTAAAAAAAAACGTGCAAACAATATTGATTATTACTAGTAAAATCGGCAAGCAACAAGCAGATCTGTTCAGTTTTCAGTTTCAATTTTAGTGCATGTATCACATAAACCTGAAAATAAAACAACGTTGCTTTTGAAATGACCCATTCAAGTACCCTTCGTCGGGCACTGCGTGCAAAAATCAAAGTCCAGGACTTACGATGTTCTTGTAGAAAATGCATATTATGCAGTAATATTTATAGGGAAAGGAATATAGCTATTTAAAAAGGCGTACACCCAGAACACGCGTCTACCTTTAATGAATCGTTTTCAGTAAAAAAGCATGTTGGTAAAAAAATGGACTTGAGTGGTCTTTGCTCTGGCCGATTAAACTGTGAATTACAAATGTTCTACTTCTAGTGGTATCTCCATCAATAGTGCATCTCTGGATACATTACCTTCCTATCAGTTATACCAGAGAATGTCTGAATAATTGAAATAAGATATGAGATAAATTATAAGAAAAGCCATAAATAATGCGGATCTTTTAATAGCGGATTTAGTGTAATTGTTATAGAACTCCTCGAAGATAATATTTAATCCTAGATTACAAGTAACATACAATTTTCAATAATAGATCCATAAAAACAAAATTTAATATCGATGACAAAGCATTGTGATACAATCTGTAGGCGTGTATGGATGTCCTGACAGATTGTGTCCCATAACACTGATAAACACAGGATTTGTGACATGAAATTTTTTGGGTGTATCTTATGTATTTTATATATAATAATTGGTGAGATCATAGTAAATCCCCAACAGTCTACTTCCTCTATTGCGAATGTATGTGAGGTTTGTCCTTCTACTGTATAGAGACTTTTGAAAAAGAATAAGTATCACCCATACAAAATTCAAATGGTACATCAGCTAACTGAAGATGACCCTGATCGAAGAACAGAGTTCTGCGAGACTATGATGGAAACCATTGCACGGCATCTTACCTATATCCAAAATATTTGGTTTAGTGATGAATGTACATTTTTTCTCAACGGTAGTGTGCATAGTCAAAATGTCGTTATTGGAGTGACACCATACCTCACGTCTTCCGGGAAACTCAATATCCACCAAAAATTAACGTTTGGACCGGGTATCGAGAATTCATACTGTGAGGCCTCTATTCATCGGACTGAATTTGGATATGCTGGGAAATACTATTGACCCTCTAATCACCGAAATCGCTGAAGCGAATCCCAATGAATTCGATACTCATATTGTATTCCAGCAAGATGGTGCTCCACCACACTACTACAGACAAGTTAGGGACTATTCAGATAACAATTTCCCCGGTCGTTGGATTGACGGCGAGGCCCTGTGGAATGGCCAGCTCGCTAGCCAGATTTCACACCTTTAGGGCCAATTTCACCAACAACAGTCCGTTATTCTCCACCTATGGGGTAACAGCCTTTCAAATACAGCGAATGAGCTTCAAGTACCAATCAACAACTTTTAGCAACCAATAGCTATGAAATGTTGAAAACAAAATACTGTCAAGTATGAGATGACATCTTGTCATTGAAACATCATCAGCTTATTGAATATTAAGAAATTACATATAATTCAGTCAAAATTTGAACAAATGTTTGATTTTTGAATAAAATTCATGATTTAATTACTATTGCTGATTTTTCGTTCATGCTTATATTATTTTCTTCAATTGATATGCGATTTTACTGATTCAAGATCATCTGCTGGGTGTTTTTTCCTATAAACCTCTTGCAGATAGCCATTAAGCACCTACTTGATGACTGGCCCTACCAAAAAGTTCATAGATATTGCTCGTTTCCAAACATTCATTCATTTACTTGCCGTACATTAGAACCATTATGGCACCTTAGATTGATATTCCCACAAAACCATTCTGGTTTTTTAATATCCATACATCCATAAAGTTGAATATTTTTCGTTGGTCAGGAACTTAACAAACATCCACACTATATTTACAGCGATTAAGAAATACCCAAATATATGTCGTAGAGCTACCAGTAAACCTAAAACCTGCAGAAAAACTAGAAATTTGCAACTGAGTATATGTTCTGGGTTATATTTATATTAGACGTTATTTGAATCACAAAATATATACACTGATTTGAATAACAGCTGATTATCTCCTGATATTTTAAAACTAACCATATCGACAAGTGACACATAATTCTGTTGGATCCGTCAACACTAATTCCCAGTCTTATTTTTGTTTTACTGTGCCTGCTTAGATATTCAAATATGGCCAGGAATTATTAGCGCCTGGCTATTTTAGGCCTTCAATAACTCCTTATTTTAGATCTCTTCTTATTTAGTTTTCTCACGCATTCATGGTAGAAAGAAAATTATTTTATCGAATATCGATACCGTATACCGTGCAGCAGGCATGCCCATCACTACTTTGACAGTTTCCAGAATGATGTCAAGGTGAGAATCGTTATGTGGCAGTTATTTTTGTTTTTGTCTGAAATAGGTAAGTAGGCTGTGTGTATTCATTTTTATTTTTATAGCGTTTCCAGAATTTCATATTTCGAAACGATGTCAAGGGCCGGCAGGGGAAAATCTTTCTCTGAGAACTGAAAATCATTAAACGTGCTGTTTTCAGTCTATTTTATTCTACCATTTGAGAAAGTACAGACTGAAGAAAAGACTACAGTGCTAAGTGGCCACTCAGTGGCTCAGTGATCGTCTGTAATGATAATATTCAAATACTACTAAACACCTAAATAGCTTTCTGGCCTTTCAATTTCGAAGCTACCAGTCCTCGCTTAGAGATGGTAGCACAATTAAGGCTAGACTCGGGGTATACGGTTACGGATGTTTATGATTCCTCTCGATATCGATATATCGTCATGAAACCATCGATGCGTAAAGATCGATGTTCTACGTCCGATGTATCGATGTTTTCGGTACATCAATGTATCGTCTATCGTCGCCATCCCTATATTGTATCCCCACCAGTCACCAGTCAAAAACCTTCACCACCAATATTTTATCACTGTTTGTAATTCTTTTTAGCTCTTATTTTTCAGTAATTACCAATAATTTTAGGTCTATGTCTACAGTAAGTGCATTATGCACCTCGGAGATGTAGGGATTAACATGTTTTACACATATCGGTGTTTTAGGATGGGGACGACCATACTGTTTTGATTGCTTTGATGAAATTCATTAACCTATGAATTTATAACAAATGATTACTATTATGATGTAAAGAGAGATGACTAATTGGTTGGAATACATTTTATATTCTAATTTCTTGCAAGTCCGCAAAATTCAACAGGTATGTGTAGCTATAATGATCACATATACACACAGTATATTGAACTTAACAAATTTCGAGATTGCCATGAATTAGCAAACGACCAAGCCTGCCAAATTTAACAGCTAGAAAATCGACCTATTATTTCTCCCATTCCCATTTGCTGAGGGGATAACGGATGGTCAAATGTACACCTATAACATAAATCAAAATACATGAAAGTTGTCCTGGTTTCTCTGTACAAAAGCATCATTTTGTAATCAAAAAGTGGTCGTGTTTATAATACAGTCGAATTTTCACGATTTTGTTCAACATTTTAATAGAAATCACTGATATTCTGAGACCTTTGACAGCTTCTGTCAAATTGCATTTCGGTAAGGTATTTTCCTATTGGTCCATAATATTAATGTTGGTGAAATCGGCCCTTAGACTTCTTTTATGGGGCTATTTGAAGCAAAAGGTGTAAGAAACTGAACCGGCTTCAATATTGGAAATTACGGACCGGCTGTTATTGTATCAAGAAGTTCAAGGCAACCTTTTCCAGCACCTTCAAAACTGAACTCAACGTATTTATTCGAATTATCAAGTTAAATGTCAATGTACTCAGGTAATTATTAAATATATAACCATTTTGTAGTAGGTAAAGGTATATTCTAGGGTTATAAAGTACTCGTCAGGAGCTTCAAAATGTTGTGCCACAAGACCCCCGTTTTCATATAATTTTTTTTCCAAGATGGCGCACAGCGGCAATCTTGAAATTTTCATGTGTCAGTTTTATTCTAAAATATGCATCAATTTCATTGCTTCAAGTTTTAATTTTTTGAATAGATCGTTCAAAAAATTAAAGGGGAGGGGGACATTAAAGAAAAGTACTGAATGCAGTACTTAAAAGATAAGAGATTGTTTGCAATATGCAATAGATTATTGATCACAGGACGCATAGGGTGCATTTTAGCTACGATGTTTGACTTTTGAGTAATTGGCATTACATGGAGCCATGACCTTTTATGGTCCATCTGCCTTATACTTTTTCATTAAGCTTGGTGCTCCAGTTGATTCTTACCTCAAACAGGACCCTAACTAACTTACTTAACATGACCTCTACGAAGTTCAAAATGCTATTGAATATGAAGTGTATAAAACGTTAGGTTTCTTATCGCAAGTGGGCTTTTCATATTGGTGACGTAATTCAGTAAAGAACTGAATCAATCCTAATGAATGATCAAAAAAATTTCCCATCTCAGGAGTTTGGATTAGGTACTCGAAGATGTTATCTTGATTCGTATTTTTTCAATAAATAAATAGCACCCAACTGGATCAGCAGTCAGAACACTATAATCGGTGATAATGATTTCCTTCAGGGTTCCCCTTGTGCTTTGCGCCCTTATCTTTGGTCAGGTGCGTATGTTTCTTATATATGAAGCTGGTTTTGGTTAAACAATAAAATTCTGCACAGTGTGTTAAGTATAGGGAAAAATGTCAATGGATGTTTCTTTGTTCCAATCTGAGCTTACTTTGTCTTTTAACCTTTTCGACACACCTCTCTATACGAAAATAGAAAGCTAAAAGGCTTTTCAAAATAAGGTTTTCCAGCTCAGTAGCTTGAGCACATTTTTTATGCCGAAGCAGCTGCGTAGGCAGAAGCCTAAATACCGGATCACAAAAGCAACTATGGGGAGCTTGAAGAACCTTTTTTGCTTAAGGCTAGTAGAACTGGAGCATGGATAATGTAGTCGGGGCAGCAGCATCCGAAATAAGTGAACAGTGCTCTTGGCCGGTTCTTATCTGGTACTGGTACAGAGTGAGGAGGTGGAGAAGTACCTACATGTACAGCTTACCCCTGATATAATAGAATTTCATATAAATAAGAATCTCGTTAATACATCATGTACAACTTATTTATTTCAACATTAACGGAGCCTCATTGGAAAACTCTTGCATGAATAAATCCGTTATTTCGGGGTAGAAAACAAACATAAGCTTATTTCCGCCTTGTCACTAGAGAAAGAAAACGGTGAAATTGAAGAAGGCGCCCCAAAAAGGAAATAAATATCAGTGTATCGAAGTCACTCTTCAAAGCAAAAACTCCAAAAAATGTAATTTCTACATAATATGCAAAAACATGATGTTATACTACAGTTTGGTTTTATTGAGTCACCTCCACCTCAACATAACTTTCATTCGATCATGTTTTTGACAGGATAGCCGGAACGTCAGTAAGGTAACCTATTCACTGTATTTTTTGTTTTATCAGTCCCTGGCCAGCACTGTCCAGTCGTCCACCGAGTTGGAAGGCAAGGAAATCGATGCTCTCATCAAGATCGTAGATTCTCTGGAAAAGCTTGGCGATTTGGCAGTCGAATATACAATCAAAATTGTAGAGTACCTGGTCAAAAATGTCCATAATCTTCCGAAAATCATCACAAACTATGTCAGCAAGATCCTCACAATAGTGAAAAATACCGCTGACGTTGTATTGGACAAAGTAAAGTCATGTAAGTTAACTTCGCCACTCACGAATATTGTAACTGTATCTAAAAGCTCACCTCAAATTTTGTCGTATCAAATGGTTGTATCTATCCACAATTGATATTTCAAGAAGCAATCCTATTTCTTATTTATGGTATTGTCAGCAGTAGCACATATACAGGGTGGCCCATCCATGTGTGGACGGAATATTAATCATAAACAAATACATTTTGGGAAAATCTATTTATGGCATGTTATACATGACACTGGAGGGCACATTTCTGAAATATTGGCAATTACACAGGGTGTCTCAATTTTGACCTACATATCAAAGTTATGATTCTTTAAATGGAATGCCTCAAATTTGGATAAACCAATTCAAAAGGAGAAGATTGATATGACATACTATGGGGTGTTGGTAATTAGCTACTGAGACATAAGGTGTTTTGTCTAGAAAAACCCCACATTTCGGCAACTCCTCAGTCCGCCGTTTTGAGTTTTGGAGTGCTGAATTTTGTATAAAAAAAACGTATACAGCTCAGCTTTTATCCTATTTCTTACTTTTTCGAATTTTCATTTTTGCTCATACTGGGTGGTCAAGAACGTGAATTACACTTTTTCCCAAAAATTTGTAATGTATCACCCTGTATATTTGTGCTAGTTTGGATTCAATTTTTGGTAAAAGGTTTGATAAGGAGATAAAATCACTAGATTTTGAGTTATTAAGCTTTTAATAGAACAACACACCAAAATAAAGGAAAAAAATTACATTATCCATGGAAACAAAAGACAAACAATGGGCTAGTTCCATATTGCCACTAAGAGTACAGATTTGGCGTAAAAACTAATTACAAGCAGAACAGTATAAATCAGCTTCAGGTATAATAGAGAAAAACAGCTATAACAACAACATAAACAAACAACTATCACTACTCAAGACCTAATCGACAAAAACTGCTCGAAGATACCTCTACCATGTTGAATACACAGCCGTAGTCTTTTTATGAATGACCGTTGCACATCCCTCAGCATGTGTTCCCTTATGTTCAGAAATAGTCACCATTTCTTCTTTAGAAAAATTCATTTTCAAACACGTTTTTATTATAATGGTCCGAAAGCTAATTTTGCCAGTTTGTAACTAATCAACAATTTATTTGTTTCCAAGTATAACGCTATATTTTAGGGAATTGAGCGTTCCATAAAAGACGTGCTAATAACCGAAAAAGTAGCGGTAAAAACACTTATGTAAAGAAAAGCTTATAAAAAATTAAATCCAAACTTGCACAAATATACAGTGTGATGCATCTAAAGTGCTTGAGAAATACTACAATTTGTGTTTTTGACCACCCTGTATGAGCAAAAATTAAAATGCGGAAAAGTAACAAATAGGATAAAATCTGAGATGTGTAATTTTTTTATACAAAATTCAGCACTCGAAATTTCAAAATCGCGGACTGAGGGGTTGCTAACTACCCCATAGTATGTCATATCAATTTTCTTCTTTTGAATTGATTTATCCAAATATGCAATAAAATTTGAGGCACTCCATTTGAAAAATCACAAATTTGATATGTAGGTCAAAACTGGGACACCCTGTATAATGGCAAAAATTTTAGAAATGTCCTCAAATGTCATGTAAACATCCCATAAATATATTTTCCCAAAATGTATTTCTTTATGAGTAATATTCCGTCCACATATGGTTGGGCCACCCTGTATATACGACATCAAGTATAGGAGAATTTCATGTTACATGATGATAGCGTTTCCATGGGAAGTGCTGAGACAACCTGGTTGACGCCATTTTTTGTATAACAGATGCAGGCAAGAAAGCCGGTGTGGTAATCGACTGCGCAAAGGCCGCCGGTAAGACAGCCATCGTAGACTATTCCTCCAGCGTCAAAGATGCTTCGAAGTGTGTCAACACCGAGGTTGAAAAAGTCCTTGTCATCATCCCCGACGTGGTGAAACAACTTGATGTAATTCTGAAGAAGGTCGAAGTTATCACCGAAGGCCTGAAGAAATGCAATGGTGGACCCGCAAAGCAAGCCCTCTGTCTTTTAGCCGTAAGTAAAGGAATAAAAATATTCTCTACAATTATACAGGGTGCGGCAGAGAGGATGGACGGTTTTAAAAAAATCATAAAATAGTTAATTTTTACTCGAAAACAAATTTATTGATGGAATCAGGTTCACAAGGAAATAGCATTTGAGACAGTCAAGTGTGGAAAATTACATCAGGCATGTGGTGGCTGAAATCGTTGATGAAGTGCTGGAGACGTTCTTGGAAGTTCGCGTAGACTCTCTCCAACATCGCTCTACTTTCGTGTAACTGTTGCGGATTTTCATTAGCCCATTAACGACAATTCTGCTGGTTAACCATGTTGTTTAGGTGAAAGTGCGCTTCGTCACTCATAAACAAAGTGAGGTTCTCATTTTGATCGATCAGTGCTTCCATCTCACGTGCGAAGTTCATTCGTTGTGCATAATCTCCGAGCTGTAACTGTTGCACAATGGCCAATTTGTAGGGGTGTAAGCGGAGATCCATATGCAAAATTCGCCTTACCGAACGATCACTAAGGCGAAGTGCGGTAGCATGTTTCCGGGCAGATCGAGTCGGACTGCGAAGAAAAACCTTTCGAACGCGATCAACATTTTGAGGAGTTCGAACTGTTCGCAGCGCTCCTCTTGGTCTTCTGTTGATCAGTTCACCACGCCTGCGAAGTGATTCAACCCAACGAAGGATAGTGTTTCGAGAGGGAACAGCTCTATTCCGATGAATGTTGAAGTGGCGACGAAACTCACGCTGTACGACGATGACTGACTCATTATTTCGGACGAAACAATCATAGGCGAAAACGCGGTGCGCCACCGTCCAAGGCTCCATAACGACAACTGGTAAAATAATGCTAGGATCTCACGAGTCAAACGGCACCCTCCCCACCTCTCTCGTAGATGGAGGCGGAGAGTACTACCCATCCCACAAACGTCCGTCGTCTCTGCCGCACCCTCTACATACTGATGATTCAGAATTCGGTACCCAGAACGGTGCAAAGCACTGACCACGTTCTGGGCGAAAAAGCCAAATGCTTAACAAACTATTACTTTATCATGATGGATGTAGCTATAGCGTTCATAAGAACGAAATTTGCGAGACTGTAGGAGATTCGTATGCTTCAAGTTTGGGACTTTCCTCTCAAAAAAAAAAATGTGTCAGAAGTTCCTACACAGAAATGTCCTACGATGCTTCCCTGTTAGTCTAATCATATTAGCAAATTTCTATAATGGGTTCACCAATTTTTGAGGGAAAACTTTTTATTTGACAACAAGGAATGAGAAACCGTGTGTTTTGGGATTCAATCGACAGGAACCAAAAAACTTTTGATATTCAGATTTTTAAGTATTTATGAGACTTACAAAATGCGACCACACGTAAAAAGATCCGACTAACTGCAAAAATATTATGGCCAAAAAACGAAGCAAAATGCAGGTTTCGGCACTTGTTAGTAACGCGACGATAATTTCACGCAACTTCTTGAAATTTTTCAAATCCGTAGGACTGATACTTCTAAATAACAACAACAAAAATGGATGATATTGGTTAAGTAGTGTCTTGGGAATTTCCAATTGTTTATCCCAAAACACCTGTTTTCCGGCCATCACTACTAGTTTATTGAGCAATATACAGGGTTAGTTCAAATGACATTTTATAGCAAAATACACGTGTTTACCTTGACGAAATGAATCACAAACCATTTTGGAAGATAAATTTTATTTATACGAAAAACAAACGTTACGTTTTTTCTTCTAAATAAATTCAAACATTTCGTATTTGTGAGTAATTGAACAAATTGCGCTACGATATTCGAAAAACATACGTTACTATATACATTTTACAACAAAGCGGATGTGTCTATCATCTTTGTTGCGAATATACGACACGTTTGAATTCGTTTAGAACAAAAAACGTAACCCATAATTTTTTGTACCAAAATAACATTTATCTTCCGGAATGGTTTGCGATTCATGTCTGCTCTATAAACTAGTACCTAGTGATGGCCGGAAAACAGGTGTTTTGGGATAAGCAATTAGAAATTCTCAAAAACTGCTTGACCAATCTACTCAAATTTTGTTGTGGTTATTAAGATGTACGAATCCTACGAATTTGAAGAATTTCAAATATCTGCGAGAAATCATTGTCGCATTACCAACAAGAGCTGAAACCTGCAGTTTGCCTCGGTTTTCGGAAATAACTTTTTTGCTATCAGTCGGATCTTTTTATAAATACCTAAAAATATTGTATGAAGAGTTTTTTCGTTCTTGCCAGCACTTTCCACTGTATCCCAAAAAATACGTTTTCTCATTCTTTGTTGTCGAATAAAAACTTTTGCCACAAAAATTGGTGAACCTACCCATTTTAAGCGTCCATGTCTTGACCAACTTGCAGCAATAAAACCAGACTTTACAACTGTTTCGCAAACCAGGGGTATTTTCGTCTAATATGATTAGACTATGTGGAGATACAGGCCTCTAAGCGATGCTACTGGATCTTGTTTTTCAAGAAATTTTGAATATGCATTGTACTTTGACATTGACGAAATGAACTGTTTTTGAGGGAGTACAGTCTCGCGTATTTCAACACTGATTCCAGTGTAATGGTAATGACGATATATTTTTATACGATATATTTCATATAAGACAGAATTAAATATAATGTCGACGAAATATTTTATATAAGAATACAATATTATATTGTCAGTCTGTTGAACTGGAGAAGGTCATCCTTGTGATCGCAGCGTTTACAATAAAGGAGATTTTTCAACTCACGGCCAGAGAAATATGAGGGACTACCGAAATGAATGCCACAGGATAAGTTACAGATCTTAACAACTCTTTAATTAACTTCCATTCCATAGAAAATACTGTCCTACGTATATGGGCATCGCGTTTATGTACTGTAGCACTGAAATTAGAACGTTTATTTTTGTCATTGCAGTAAAAAAGTCTACTTTGTGTGATCCTAGCCGCAAGCTTTGTTCACGGGATCAAATAAAAATAGGTTTTTTTAGCCAAACCAGGTGAGTTATGAAGTATTTCGGTATGAGAATTAAGGGCCCATCTTACACAAATCGTATAATCTTTCTGTAGCTTGTTCTACAAGAAATTGACCGTAGCCGTTAGATCCATTACTTCAAAGACGCCTTTCCATTTCTTGAGTTTGTGCCCCAAGCGCTATTTTGTGCCCTGGATTAGTAAAATCGGGTCTTAGTGGCATGCATCTCTAGAGCAGATTCTCGTAGAGCACATTTTCCTAAGGGAACAAGATGCAACCGAGAGGTTCCTTCACCACCCACATATAAATAAAATAACAAATTAGCATCACAACTCTCTTGAAGAACATTTGAGTTACGTAGTTTATCAAAAATAGGTTCTCTTGAGGCGAAAGATAATTTTCGAGTGTATCTTCGTAGGTAATTTTTGAAACAAAAAATATATTGTTTACTTTTTTACCCCTTGGATCCTGTATGTTAGGCAGGTAGATCCAGGTTTTACGACAAGAAGATTATGTTAATATTGCATCTTATTGCTTGCAGATCGTGAAGAAGTGCCAGTTTGCAGCTAAGCCATTGCCCAAAATCGTCACTGATGCATACCACAAAATCAAGGATGCAGTCAGTTCTTTGATCTCCAGCAACAAGAAGTGTCTGGTTGGAGTTGTCGAAAAGACCAGGGACGAGGCTTTGGCCAGGCTCAACGCTTTTGGAACCTGTGTTCACAAATGAATAGAGATATGAAAGCTGTAATTTGTTATGGACTAATGATTGCGTGAATAGACGTTTTATAAAGAAATATTGATTTTTATTTATCAGCCACACGGGTGGATCTTGCGTCGATATTCACGCCATTCTATCACGGAGTGTTATGCGTAAATGAAGCTTACAAGAACTTTATACCAAATCCAAGCTGATAAAGCAAATCTGTGACGTCATCACTTAATGTAAACATTAATAAACAAAAACTCGTTTTGGGTTTATTGTTAAGAAATGTTATTTCTATTGTTTCAGCAACTGATTGGCTTGAAAGTAACCAAGATAATGGGTATCCATTGGAAGCCTACTTAAGGTTTGAAATATATAGTGCTTTTTAAAAATGTCTATCGATTTATCTTCTTAATGGTCAAGTTAACAAGCTGAATGATTCTGAAGTAATGGAATTAATAGATAATAGCATATTTTAACGTAGATGTGACAGTTCAACATTTCAAGATTATGGCTGGGTGACATTTTGGAACATCATCAGAAAAAAAGAAGCAACAGCATAACAAAAATGTAAATTGACTCCTCAATACTCACGCAACGCCGATATCAGTTCATAAATGATTATGTTCAGAACCGATCAGACCTTGTAAGAAAAAAGTCAGTGAAACAGCTCCATACAATGAGTCCATTGACATTCTTTCCTTGCCCTACCGGTAGTGCATCTGGCAACGTCGCTCGGTCAGACGTGGCAGCGCGGTTAAAGCATAGCGTCTAGCACCATACCAGAACAACAGAACTCACCAAAGTCGACGGCGTGCCGCCAGGAGTAGCGGTTGCAGCCAGTAGGTACACGATCTGTTTGCTGAGAATATCTTAAAAGCTAATGTACGGATAAAACTGTGATGTGACGATATGTCTAGTAGGTGCGTAGAATTACCAAAGTTGGAAAAGTATAAATGTACTAACAAAACAAAAATTGACATTAACGCCTTTCTCTGTCGCCACTGGACCTATTTTCAAAAACATAACAGCATAATAGTAACATTGTGTAAGAATTTCAACGAAATCCGAGCGGTAATTCTCAAGTTACAGGTGGTTATGAGATTATAGGGCAGACCGACAAACAGACAGACTGACGGAAATGAGCAGTATGGTTTTTCGTGACGTATATGTCATACAACATTGTAGAACCATAATATCTCCTTTTCGAAGCTTTTCGCCATTAAAATACAGTAGGGTGGGAAGTAAAAACAATAGCTGTGATGGTTTCTCTTCAACTACAATGATTATGTTACATGTTCAATGTTGTTTACCCACGTCCCAAAGACGATAAACAATTACCGTCTCTGAAAATAAAAAAAAAATTGGTATATACAAAAGATTAACGCATCTCCCTGCTGCTAAAATTAAGTGCACATGTGCGCTCATAATGGTGTAAATCAAAAACAAGTATATTTTATTCCATATATGGTATTATTTAGAATAAATCTTCTTGCAAGAAAAAGAAGCATATAATCCAAATCAAATGAACAGTTCTGTAGTTACTACTAATTATATTATCTATCCAATTTACTATTTCAGATTTAATTATATGTACAATATATTTGCACTTTAAGGCTCATGGGAAGGTGATTGAGGATTTTAGGACCTACGTAATAAATATGTTTTCCAGAGCAAGTGTGTCTTAAGTAAGCATCCCGATATATTTATTTGCTGTCTAGATAGTTTTCAAACCGTGTGTTAGTTTCCTTGAAGTAGTTGGTCCTTAGCGTGAAATCAATCACTGATTTTATGTAAATCGATGCAAGTTAAGTATATGAGTACATTAGCTGAAACTGAATTATTGAATCGGAATGCTCAACTTTCACAGCCGTTTAGGAAGATAGTGATTTCATATTTTTAGACTGCAAAATGCTCATAAGGATCTGCAAAATAAGGTACAACGTAACCCCTGGTTTCATTTAAAAAATCTTGGTTCCATCTTGGATTCATCAACTAGCACTTTTACGCTAAAATCTGGAAATTGTACATTCATTTCAGCACTTCGAATTTCAGCTTCTCAGCCTGAACCGTTCAAAAAGTATTTGGGTAGGAGTTTTACTGAAAATCTCCGTATATTAGGTGCTATTTGATATAGTTTTCCTCGTACTGATCATAAAAAATAACGATGAACTTTGATCACTCTTTGTAAGCGTATCATCTCCATGGATATATCGATATACTTTTGCTATTATCAATAATTGTGTATGAAACGAGTGCTAAGGTAACTGTTTAGATTAAGTACTCTGATTACTCAAAAATGCCATCATGTAGGTGATATGGCCTGACAGCAGGTGTAGCGCACTTTATTTACCTCATCTGGTAGTGGATCATTTTTCCTCGTACACTCATGTGATAAGGAAATAGGAGATAAATACGAACTTTCCATGGAATTTTGCTAGCTGTTTCCTGCCAAGTGAACCTGAAATTGCTTTTCTTCCCATAAAGATGTGGCTAAATATAGAAAATTGTACAGACATATATTCCAGCAGACTTATGTTAATGGGATACATAAAAAGGCCCTTCTGTGGCCTACAGAAGAGTTGTAAAATTCTGGACATTATACAAGACGCCACAATCTGATAAACATTTGGCTCTATCAACTTCAACTTGAGTTCTATGCATTTGATAGGACTTCCGTTGCTTTCAACTGTTCCTGTGATATAAGCGGATGATTTTCTATTTCCTCCTACACTCATGTGATAAGGAAATAGGAGATAAATCCGAACTTTCCATGGAATTTTGCTAGATCTTTCCTGCCAAGTCCTGCATTGTCCACGTGCCTAAGAGAAATGATAAATTTCTTGATTCTGTACTTTGACGAATGACATTCTGTTACTCCACTACGTGGAAAATTTTGCGACAGGATTTGGGTGTAAAACCTTATAAGATACAGCTGTTGCAAGAATTGAAGCCACACGACCTCCCACAACGTCTCCAATTTGGTGAATGGGCGCTGGAAAACTTGGAGGAAGATCCACATTTTTATCGAAAAATTGTGTTCAGCGACGAAGCTCATTTCTGGTTGAATGGGTACCTTAACAAGCAAAATTGCCGCATCTGGAGTGAAGACCAGCCAGAAGCATTGCAAGAGCTACCAATGCATCCCGAAAAAATCATTGTTTGGTGTGGATTATGGGCCGGTGGCATCATCGGGCCGTACTTCTTCAAAGACGACAATGGCCGGAACGTAACTGTGAATGGCGAGCGCTACCGTGCGATGATAACAAACTTTTTTTTCCCAAAATGGAAGAGCTGGACTTGGCTGACATGTGGTTTCAACAAGACGGTGCCACATGCCACACCGCACACGAAACAATGGCCCTATTGAGAGGCGAGTTCGGTGAACAGTTTGATGCACTGGAAGCCAATATTGAAGCATTTATTCGTGAGATACCGGCCGATATGTTGGAGAGAGTGTGCCAAAATTGGACCTTGCGCATGGGCCATCTAAAGCGGAGCCGCGGCCAACATTTACATGAAATAATCTTTAAACATTAAATTATATCGACTGAAATGAAGATTTAATCGTTTTTTCAAATTTTTTGTGTTTTTGTTAAAATTAAATCCTATACCTCTTAAAAAAATCACCGGTTATGAATATATACGTGATGTTTTTTATATATGCCTATAGGTGCTTAGTTATACCTCGCATTTAAACTAAGGGCACAAATGACCTCAGTGGCCGAATACAATATTTTTAAATATTCAAACTTGGTTTTTACTCTACAAAAAGTGGACCATTCTTTCATTTAAGGTGATATATTTTGAATAACAGCAGAACCTGCTAAGAATCTTATTGTACACTGAGTAACTCAAGAAGTAACTTCTGGATTATTTAGAATATGTGTAATTATAAAGTCTGTTTATTCTCAGAAAGGAGTAAGATAATCTTTTAAGAGCTAAAATTGGCCCACTGGTTACAACAATACGGTAAATTAACTTCTTACAACTTCGCGACCATTTTTAAGCATGGCGTCCAAACGACCACGATCTGAGAGAGCTTTGTCAAGAATAGGATAAGTATAAGCAGATGCCAGGTCAACGTCGCACTGACTAATGGGAAAAAAGTGTTAAATGATTGCATACCTGCCAAAATTTTTTAGCGAGCTCCCACAAACGTCGAACACGCTAGCAACTATACAGTGGTAGAGAATCCGTCAACTCTTTGGTAGGGGTCCGCCGACCACTACAAATTGAACAGTCACTTGTCCCTTCTGATGGTAAAAATATATATTCAATCTGCTCCCCGTGCTGCGAGGACTAAACAGCGTTTCACTTTCTGGGCTCTTGTTCCGTATACCGCAGTCTGAGCTGAGACATTCCAAGCTTGATACGAGTATTGTTTTGCATACTCAGCAGAGTGATTGGATATCCTGACCTTCATATGAGGAAGGTTCGATAGAAAGTGGATAAGTATGTGCCTTCACTACTACTACTGTTTGCTTTAACGGATGGTCTAGTTATCAACGAGTTTCAGAGACATTGCCGACAAAAGCTGCAACCCACCGATGTCCTCAAAGTCAACATAACCCTGAACTACTGGAAGGTTTTAACGAGTATGATACTTCGTACAAAGTGACGTATGTGGACATTGGTACTACAAATAATAAGAAAAGAAAAACATCCAACATACAACCTTCATAATATTTCATCAGTGGAACACTGTACATACCTATCTACCTTTATCTATAATTATTACACCTAACACAAGATTTTCTAATCACCATGCGCTGATTAAATTGTACTCAAGTAGATATGAAGCAATACAGCTAACGTGTTGCATAACCTTGTTTACTTATTACATCAAGTGATAGGATAATTTTACCTATTTCTTTTATTCTATATGTCATGTTGTTTGACATAGATCTCCCTCAGCTTATGAATCAGGTGTTGTTTCTGCCTACAAAGCAGGGGGCAATAAAATCTAGACTATCTGGTATTCGAAAAATGAATTTCTAGTAGGATAAGAAATTTTCTTCATAAATTAAAAATTGTTAGTCCGAAAGTATATGGTTTTGTGACAGAAAATCCTACGACAGATGGTAACCTAA